ATCTGTCGACAGCATATCCTGCAGCTGGGGAGGGTTTGTTATTATACAGTAGTAGCAGTAGCAGCAGCAGTAGTAGCAGTAGTAGTAGTAGTAGTAGTAGTAGTGGTAGTAATAGTAGTAGTAGCAGCATCCATACACCACTTTAATTGGCTGCTACAAATGATCTGTCAACAGCGTATCCTGCCACTGGGGAGGGTTTGTTATTGTACAGTAGTAGCAGCGGCAGCAGCAGTAGTAGTTGTAGAAGTAGTAGTAGTTGTTGTAGTAGTAGTAGTTGTTGTAGTAGTAGTTGTAGTAGCAGTAGCATCCATACACCACTTTAATTGGCTTCTACAAATCTGCTTGAGAGTGTATCCTGCAGCTGGAGAGGGTTTGTTATTGTACAGTAGTAGTAGCAGCAGCAGCAGTAGTAGTAATAGTAGTAGTAGTAGTTTTAGTAGTAGTAGTATTAGCGGCATCCATACACTACTTTAATTGGCTTCTACAAATGATCTGTCGACAGCATATCCTGCAGCTGGGGAGGCTTTGTTATTGTACACTATTTACTATTTTTGCCACCGCAGGTCAGACCAGGAACGTGCAGGAAATCAGACGATGAAAGATGCCACACTTAAAGCTCGAGGTTGAACAAACACAGACTTTAGAACAGTGGATGAATGGGAAGAGAAAATTTAGGTCTCCTGTCTCCAAATGACAACATAAAGAAAGTTACAACATTGAGCTATAAAAGGTATATAAGATAAGATACATGTAATTGATATACATTAATAGGTGAAGTTATTAAAAGAGATATACAAGTTCATATTGAAACATGACCAGGAATGTATTTAAGCTTACTGACCTCATTCAATGATTACACCATGACACATTTTGAAACATTATATATCAATTCATGTGTTTGTCGTATCATTGAGTATTTGTTACAGCAGTGATATTGCTGTTTTATCCATTTGTGTATCTACTGATGCTGGAGATTGCATTCCATCATACAAGATTACATTTCAAGATGCCAAATGGTATTGCAATGAGTTTATATGCCAGCATAGGATCAACAAGAACATTCTGAAGGTGGTAAGTCACTTGCATGAGTCCAATACAAAATTAAAACGATCCTTTGGAACGTCTCTACAGATATAGATATATTGTATGGCATATTGTGGAATATTATAGAGCAGGATTTCCATGGAACTAAGTAAAATATGAAGTCAGGTTTGTGGAGATGCAAGCCCATTCACAAAAAAAAACATCTGTAATTAAAAAAACAAAAACATTTAGTCACCCTTTGTTATTGTGTAAAATGTTGTATACTGTGGTTTTAACTGGAGTGTCATGAAAAGCACCATTAGTGTTGTGTATTTTTATATTGTGCTCAAAACTGTATAGTGGGTATAGTGGGTATTTCTTCTGAAGTACTATACTACTAACAGAATATCAAACACAAGCAACATGACACAAAACAACGACACAGACTTGTTTATTTCCTATGACCTCATCCAAACTCACCCACTTAAGTCTCCGAGTCTACCATAGCACTTCTGTTCAGAGCTACAGTCGAAGCCATGTGCTAATAAAGATGTCTGACGCGCTCCTCGTTTGTGTTATGTCTAAATAATCAGGCCCACCAGAAGTAAACCGATGAAGAGATACAAGCCCAAATGACTTCAGAGGAAATGGGGAACAATAAGAGAGTTAGACAGGCTTCAAGAGACATCACCGAAGATTAGCATTGTCTTTTACAATGGCCTCCTCACTGCCCCAGGAGGAGGCAGACTCCTAAAGGTAATTAGGAGGAAATACCTTATGTTTTTGCCAATTAAGGTCACGAAGGACAGTCACCGCAGATATTGCATAGATACAGGGGCAGCTGACGTCATACAGGGTATATCTATGGGGTTTTCCATGAGACAGTTGTTAATTTAACTAAAAAACTAACTGAACTCATTTGAGCAGCCTTTGTGTGTTTTTTGGAGCTTACAGTTGTTTACATTAGCAACTAGAACCGACATGGCAGCAGGTGGCATCTTCCCAAAATATCCAAAACTCTATCAACACATGGTTTGCCTAAAAGTGCTGTTGAGTAACAAAATGGTAAACACATGACTGCAGGAATGGGTATTATAAACAAATTACCAGCTAAACAAATTTTCTAATTACTAACTAAACAAACAAAAACTGTTTATTATCCCTGCTACGGGAATACACATATTTCAGGATTATTTAGACAATTCTGTGTCTTCTCTGACTTTAATAAACAACGATAATGATAATTGTAAAATGTAATCAAAACCTTGCCTGGCAAATCCAGAATGTTTTCTCAATTTATTTTTTATACAGATGTATATCAGTGTGGTCCTGACGCCCACCGTCGCGTCTCAAGTCTGACCAAATGTGATTGTACAATCAGGTTATTATTTTTTTTTGTGACGCACGTGAAACAAGATCATGTCAATCAAGATCACCTACCATTTACAAATAAAATTACATTTATCTCATCTCAGACTAACAGAGTTTCGTTTTGCTCATTGATTTAGCAGAAATATGCTATGTTTTTCAGTCCTCGCTGATATTTTTTCCTGTCTCTTTTCCTCGTAAACAGCCACATTTTGTTGGAGTGTGTATTCTGTATCCCACGCAAGGAAAACTCCCCAAAATGTATCTAAAGCAATTAACGGAAAAGTCATTCAATCAAATAACTGGTACATGATTACTGACATGTTTCTAATTCCCAAATTGAAATGATGGGTATTTCATGTCATTGATGCACCCGTATATGTATAAGTACTAGTATCAAAACTGCTGTGACAATATAGCAATAAAACAAGTCAAACCAGCACTTGTAACATACCAGTAGAGTCTGAGTAACAGTATATGAGTTAGAGCTCTCCCTGGGGCTATGACAGAAGAAAACCTATAGATAAAAGGCTTGTTATTAGGGGAATTCCCAATGTTTCCCTGCTTAGAAAGACATCAGGTGAGTGTGGTGAGGCCCCACTGGTCAAAAGCCTTTAAATATGACTAAACACACAATGAAACAAAGATATGCCAGTCAAATAGTCCACTGCATACCAGCTGTTAAGCCAGAGGCACCCTGTTTGAATACCACTGTGTATACAACAACAATTCATTTAACATGGTATTATATATAACTGTTTACAGATTGGAGACATATCACATATGAGGAGCCACATACCCTCTTAACCAGTCTAAGTCAGCTTCCACTAAAGTAAGCTAACTTTTAATCTCATATAAATCATGTTATTGTTAAATACTATGAGAAAGGTACAGTATACAGTATAAAAGTACATGATATAATGCATAAAACTACTGTTGAGAGTAGAGGACATCACACTCTATGTCTATGTCTACTCAGTCTATGATTAGTATTAAATTTCAATATTTCTCTGTAACAATATATTGTGCTTCAAAATGTGTCTTGACAGGCCCTTGCACCAGTTAACTAAACAACAATGATTTTTTGGAAACACAAGGGTAAATTATACCAGGAAAAATTGAGCAATCATAATGAATCACATAGCAGTAAACTACACTAGTTAGTATTTCATAGTGCTCTTGTCTGGGAAGCTCCAATTAGGGAGGTGAGACAAGATAGTAAGGAAAAGTTACCGAACTCTGTATTAAAAAGATTATACAGTCACTGAGCTCTGTATTAAAAAGATTATACAGTCACCGAGCTCTGATTAAAAAGATTATATTTGATTCCATCAATTAATACTTTACATTTACCATAGCAACTTCATTATTTACACTATTTTTTCTTTGCAGCAGATTTCATCAACATTTCCTGAGGGTGTGATGCTAACTGTAGGCTGTTTTAGGCTTTGATAGACTTTAATCTGAGCTTTATTTTACCACAATCTGGCCATAAAGGACTGACTTGGTTGGAATTACAGCAGGGGGGCTGATTTTTACTGTTGAACAAGTCCCTCTCAGGCTACATTTATATGATGATGGTCTGAACAGAAGACAAAAAAGTGGCGTCACGTCTTCACTTTTTATTCCGCGTTTAGACAAGTGTTTTCGGGAAGAAATCTGCGTGCATACGGTGATGCAAAAGTGTGTGGAATTCGGTTAGGCATGCATGATGAATGTGACGTAAACATGTACGTGACGTGAGCAGATCAGACCAGAGTTGTCCATCTTGGGCAGTGTAGACGGAAACGCTACGGCAGAGCGTATTCAACTTTTCCACTTTGGAAGGTGGTTTCAGACTTTTGCACTTTTAAGCCCCCAAAACGCTGTCACCGTCTAAACGAAAGGCACTTCCGATAAAATATTTTGTCGTTTTTACCCCCAAGTGTTCTCGTGTTCTCTCAAACACCTAAACAGGAACATGAACGCTCAGATTGTTTTGTTTAAATGTATTTAGAATTTTATTTATTTATTTATTTTGACAGTGTTTGCTAATGTGTGCATTGTGTCACCATAGTACATAATGACCATTCTGCCATATACATACACGTAGAACACGCCTAGTGTGATGTCACTGCAAAGTATTAATACCCTGAGGGGACACTTGGCCTATTCTAACTGCTTTGGGCAAACGGTGAGTTCAGCCTGGATAATGAGCTGTATTAGTGCAGCGGTCAACACTCAGGCCGCTGTAATTGGTAGACTATAGGTAATTAAGACATACAAATTTGGCTGTAAGTACTTTGTCTTCACAGGAATCCAACTTTAGCAAAATTACTTACAGTATTCAAAAAGGTCTCTTAATATTAAAAGAGCACTAAGTAACTTCTCTGAAAGGGAGTTTGGCACACAGTGCTCCAGAAAAGTTACATATAACATGTTTAATGCATTTCTTAACTTAATGATTTTAATTTTAGGTTGGATAGAGCTGGTCTCCTACTTGAATCATGGTGATAAAAAGCTTTAATGCCATACTGCGAGACATTTGTGGCAAAGCACAAAACATCATCGTGCACGTTTAAACTTGTGCACAAATTTGTTCACCAATACAACTTATTCAATTGACCTACCTGTCTTCCCACTCTGTTATTATGCAGCCTCATTCTTGCGTGGATATCTTTGTACGTCTCTCGCGAATCCAGGAAGTCCCTTGAAAACTTCTCTCCGAATTCCACATCGGGACTGCATCCGCCCCATTCCCACGAGTCCTGGGCGCTGGGCAGTTCTGCTGGGAAGTGCTCCATCACCCCGTGCACCATCCCCTTCCCTCTGTGGATGGCCTCTATCTGCAACCTGTGGAGTTTAAGTCGAAAAGCTTCTTCATCTCCGCGCCGTTTAGCGTCACAACCGCACGCCTTGAGTTTCCCCATAGAGCACGCATTGGCCACGGCATGGACCACCCCTGCTGCGGCGATGGCGTAAGCAAAAGCACTCTCCTTGAAACCTGGGAGGAAGAAATAATAATCAATAATCAGTTTTTATTTATAGAGTCATTTACAATACAGCTGTGCTTTCTTATTAATATTTTATAGCTGATGTCATTAACAGTCCCTGGGGGTGTGAAACTAAGTGAAAGCACTATTCTGTTAGAAGCTCTGTTACTCAAGTTAGACTTAATCAGAGCTTTGTTTGAACACAATCTGACATGGCTTGGTTGGAACTACAACAGGTGAGATGATCTATGCTCTTACACAAGTCTCTCACACAAAATTCCAATCAACAGTTTGTCAGTTTGTCACACCTTTCTGTTGAAAACACCTAAACATGACCATAAACACCGGTATAGATCAGAATATTATGGTGGAATTTCCTGTTTAACTGTCAGTTTGCAGATTTGTTGACCTGGTTTATGGTTAATATCGCTGTACTGACTGGGTTTATGCAGCTGTTCAATGTCTCATCTATCAGCATAATAAATAAAAGTGAAAATATTTGTTCACAATAGTTTAAGTTTACTTCAGTCCCATTTTTGTATTAAAGCTGCACTGCGGCATGTAAATAATTTGATAAGTGTCTACCACATACTGTCTATTCTTTTGCTTTTTCCACATTATGGTATTAAACTTATCTATCTCCATGGAGACAAGCAGGTGACACCAGCATCATATCCCACAGACCCGCACACACAAAGAATGCATGTTTTTCAGTGGATTTGTTTGGACTTAAAAGACCTGCAATTGAATAGGTAAGGTAGCAAGGTTGATACTGTAAATATAATGCCACACTGTGGAACATTCCAAAGCAGTAACATGGAGTTCTTGGAGGCAATACATAAATTAAACTAATACTCACTAATAACTAATATAATCTTTTAGTGCCCACCAAGTGTCATGTTGTTCTTTAAACACATAAATATTAACATCCCCTTTGGCCTCTTCACTGATATGCCAATAGCAGTAAACAAGACTATAAACCTCATATAAAACAGCTGTAATAAAGCAGCTGGAGACATGTTTAAAAACAGTTGTAAATAAAGCTTTACAAACTAAAGTTGTGTATGCAGCATAATAGTTTTGTTGGAAATGTGCATAGAAAAAATATGCTGTTTCATAAGAGACAGTGACAATGAGGCAAAAACAACAATGTTTTTTTGTTTTTTGTTTTTTTTGACTCCACGGTATTATACAAAATTCTTCACACTTTAATATAGTCACGCCAAGTCCATAAAACCAGAGGAAACATCTGAGACTAAACTCATTAAATGTTCCAACACATGTCTCCAAGGGGTTCGTGAACAGCAATTTCTATCACAACTAAGGTAGCTGTCACACATCTGCCCAATATACACTAGTATGGTTAAAGGATATTTTAGTTTGGATTAAATTTTGATATCTATCACCCGCTGCTCCTGACAGGTTGTTCCAGCCAGTGTATTGAAAGATGGGTCAAATGTAGAGCACAAATGTCCCTACTTCAACGGCCTATTTCAATGTGACCTCTGAGAAGTTCGATTTGAGTTTTTACCGACACTGCACGATTACAATTATACTCAATGTTTCATAATAATCCTCAATTTTATGATTTTGCACTCTTGATTATTAAAACCTCAACTTCATCAAACAAATTCTGATTTCTTTCTGATCATGGTCCCTCTGTACACTCACATCGTATCATTTAGCTGTTTTCCATTTGCATGTCATTTGCATTCTTAAAAATCCAGAAACCAGATAATAATCAAATTTAAACACAGGCAATGTCATCCCAGTTACAAGCTAACAACAATCCTGAGGTAATCCCGCCTAAGGACAGATTCTTCATAAAGCAACCTAAAATGATCAAAATATGCTCCGTTTAGTTGAATGAAGACCGCACCTAAGCAAGTCAACTTTTACTTCTGTAACCTGGTTTCATTTCATGCTGTCTTAGCCCTGTAATGACTTAAATGTGCCTTAAACACACTGTGGGGAGGTGGTTAGATGGGTGTAAGTGTAATGTCTCTGCACACATCCTCCTCATTAAGAGTCATTTAAACTTATATGACATGTGTAATGAGTACAACTATACACCACTAACTACAGTCTAGATAGAGAGAGTACTCTGCCAATGTACTGTATTACGAAAAGGTACATCCATGTCTAATTGAGGGATGCATAAAATATTGAAAATGAAACTACTTTCCAGCATTTTATGTTCACTTGAGCATCTAATTTAAGATCTTAGTATGAGGAGAGACGGTGTTTCTACTCAAACGGGAAAGGTGCAAATTATCTGGATGATCTTTGCTCGCTAAAAGTAGAAGTGGTAGTAAACCTGTAAAATCTTTCACCTAAGGCAGTCCAGACCTAGCCAGGCTGGCGCCACCTAGTGCCTCTGCTCAATTTAATTTCTCTCCAGCAACTAGGTCAGGAATCAAAATACAATAGATGGTTTGCAAAAACCCCGGAAGTGCAAGTTCGGGCACCAGTGCAGAGTGATATATTCAGTGTTGACAACGATTCCCGAGATCGAGGATTTAAAACCGGAACAAAGAGAATGTTGGTGAATTTTATCAAGGGGAAAGATGTTACTGCCCTTCTTCCTACGAGATTTGGGAAAAGCTTAATGACTACCAAATAGCAGCGACTGATTAAATGAAAAAATGTACCCACTTACCATCAAGCGAACAAATTCTAACACTGCAATGTCAAACTGTTTCTACGCAGTGAAACCGGCTGATGAATCAGGCTAGTCCTGACCAAGCCTGAATCAAGATTTGAAGATGGGTCCCCAAACGCTTCACTGTGGCGCCAATGCTCCTGACCTAAGTAGTGATATAGTTTTATTGTAGGAAAAGTATAGTGGTGATAGCTGTATTGTAGAATGTTATTGTAGAATCTCTTAATAGTAGTTAAACAATAAGCAATAAACTAGACATAACAGAACTCTAAATTATACTTTACACACGTATTTTCACTTCGACATTTATCTTTTGAATTTCCCTGAACTTTAAACTACTTCAGTACATTTTTATCACCATGTTAGACCTATATATTAGTATTTTATTGACTTGTTATGACAGAAGAATAAATTCCTCTGGTAAAGTGATGTCTGTCTGAATGTGGAATGTGTGTTGATGAAGTGTGGCCTGTTTGTTGTTTATTGTCGCCTCTGAGCTCACTGTCTGTGCATTACTGTGGTACTTTTACATCAGCCCCCATCACGGCTGCTACTGCTACTGCACTAGAGATTATAATGGAAACTTGTAAAGAAAACATGAAAAGAAACCACTCAGGACTTTATAGCACGCTGCTCGAGGGGGAAATGATTCAGACTGCGTTTTGGAGTCAAATAAAAAACTATTAACCAGGCCTGGCCTTGTTAGCGTGTTTGATGTTGCTTCCTTATTTTCAATTGGAAGTAAATGAATGGTCTGCTGTTTTGGTAGTGTATGAAATGATAAAGGGACTTTCACTTTGCATACTGCATGGAGTCATTTGTTTTGATATTCAATGTGTAAACTATAGCCAAACTTTTAAATACTTTAATCAAAGTAGCCATATCTTATTATGAAGGTTATTTAATTAAATGTGTATATGAGTTAAAGGTACACTATGTTTGTCTCCATGGAGATGTTATTGTTGCACCTAGATTGTTTCACTTTATGGCATTAAATATATCTTTCATGGAGACAAGCAGCTGATGCTAGGACAAGTTGCAGCTCATATTTATGGAGAAAAGATCCCTCTCATAGACAGAATGCGTGTTTTTCCCATGTATTTAGTTTTACAATAAATACCAATTGAATAAATGAGAGATAATAGTTAAATAGTTAAATTACAAATTGGTGTATTAGGCAAAACATCAAAAGCCCCATTGAAACAAACAGGTGCTGTTTTGTTTCATCCACCATAAACTGCTTTGCAACTGATTTCCAATTCAAAACTAAATTTGATAGTTACATTTGTTATCAAGAGAATTTCTGCATCCACTTAATGAAATGAATCTACTAACAAAGTCATCAAAAGTCACAACTAACAATAACACAGCTGCCCTGTGGCTAAGTGATGGAAACACGGCTGCCAATCTGCACCATCAGACTCTCAGACAACCACCAATTACAGTCACACAAATCTACACAAAGCTGGTGGGTGAAGTGTCTTGCCCAAGGATATAATCTCAATATGCACATTACATGGTAAAGGGATCAACCCACTGTCAACCCACAATAAAAATAGACTAATGTGGCTCAACTTTCATGTCAAAGCCTGATCTTGTTAGGTCTCAGAAGCTAAGCAAATCCTTGCCTGGTTAGGACATAGATGGGAAACCGCTGGGAAAATAGGTGTCCTTATGCAAGACACTTCACCCACACTGGTCAGAGGGGCTGATGGCACAAATTGGCAGCTTCTATCAGTCTGCCTCAGGACAGCTGTGGCTACAACAGCAGCTTACCACCGCTGATTGTAGAGTAGATGAATAATGCACTGAACTGTCTGGGAAAGTGCTGTATAAGACTAATGCATTATTACTATTATTACTAGTGCTAGCAAAGGTAGCAGTAATAGTAAAAGTTGGGGCTGAGTTGCTATTTTAGAATTAGAAGGAAAGGTATTGAGGTATTAGTTGAGGTATTAGTTTGTGGTTCTTGATGATCTTTCTCAAGTGCACTGTCTACTTCTGCAGTTATTACTGAAAGTACTTTTACTTTATGTATCTGAAGTAGTAGCAGTGCTTTAGAAGTCAGTGCCCTGTTTTCTTGCTCTACCTTGACCCCCCGCACCAGTACATGGGACAGTTTTAGCTCCTGTCTTTGGCTCTGAGTCATGGCTCCGCGACACACAGAGAGCCCCTGAAGACCGAGAACAGATCAATGTAAGAAATAATTCACCGCTTGTGCCACGCCCGGATGAACTGATGGCAGAGGAAGTGGCAAAATGAATTAAAGATTGAAAGGAAACTGTCACTTTGTGTTTCAGAAACCCACTAAACAGGTTTATGCTTTTGAGAGTTGGGAAAGTGCTGTGAGCGAATTCACAAGCACTGGCTCTGGCAATGGGAGTAAAAGCATTCGGAGAGGAAGGAGCAGACCAATGGAAGCACTGAGGGAGCATCTTCTTCTCTTGTCAATCAGGATGGATGGATGTCAATTAAGACTAGGTTTATGGGTAGGCTAATAAATTACATATAGTAAATGTGTTCAGAAAAGGTTAAAGCCATTAAACTCAAAATTTAGGTCAGTATTTGAGTACAGTAAAGTAAAATGCAACTTTGTCATTTTGGGAAAGCTTTGGAAGTCAGTAGGTTGTTTTAATTATTTAATTTTGACCCACTTTAACAATGGTGACATTTTTCCCCTTTAGTGGTAGTTTTTTTGGAACTAAAATATAAATGATATGATGTGCTAGCCCTTACAACTGACATTGTTTATATATAAATAAAAAAGTCCAAAAAGGCAAAAAATTTAACTTCATTTTCCCCTGGCTCTTTCCTTCAAGTTGCCTCTTCTGATATAACAGTTCGGGGCATGCAAACCTGAATATTACAGTAATTTATGTAACAAAATTTGGTTTATTATTCTGTGACATTTACTCAGGATTAACAATGGGCCTAACTTTTAATCTCTAAACTACCTTATGCAAACTCAGCTGGCAGTGGAGCAGTATCCGCATGCAACTACGCAACTAAGTCTGTAAGATCTTCCACTTGGATCAATCTTTAGCAACAGTGAAACAAATGCTATCGGCGTGTATCAGATGAATCACTCGCTTTTAAAGAGCTTGTTTATGTCAGATGCCGCAGAGTTTCTGCACCCGAGGCGAACCAGGGACACCAGACGAAAAAGCAACTGTCTTCCATAAGATGATGGCAAACAGCTTTTGAATGAGTCAAGATCATGGAAAGTGTAGCGGCATGTACAGTAGCAAAGGTCAATCAATGTGGCATTATATTCAGGCTAAATGTTTTCAGATCAAGCAGAGCATAAATTATAAGGTCGTAAAAAGATTATACATTTATACGGGAGAAGTTACGATGGGGATTTCCACACCATAGACATCGCCATTGTCTCAAGGAGAAGACACTCAATTAGCTGGAAGAGGAACAAGACAAGCATAGACAACCAGCCAGGGAGCAACACTTACTTGCTTTCATGAGGTTTGAGTAATAATGTGTCAATTGTAGTGAAAAATAACAAATGTAATAGCAAACATGCACAACTTTAAGACATAATTTCAATTCTCGGGGGAAAAAACTGCACTGAATACTGTCCACATTTGTCATCCAAGTGAAAGTTCATCGGCTTTTAAAAAGTGTTTGACCGCTCCTCTGGACTTAGAAAACATTGGCCAAACATAGACCACAGACACTAAACATATACTTGCATTTATACAATTATAGAGTCCCCTCTCCACAGATCTGACGTGTGACTTGGCCTGGTGGTTACATCTGTTTCTATGTAGATAGAGAAACTTAAAGCCATACTGTGTTGGGATACACCAATGTGATACTGGTACTGGTTCAGTCAATATCAGTTCAGTCAATATCCTACTTTGGTCTGTAAGTTTATGTAATAAGACAATTTACTTGACAATGTTCACACTAGTAATATTTTTTGAAGTTGTTATGTAGTTACTTAAAATGATAAATAACAGTTACATAACACATTTGAATATATTTTATACATATACTTTGTGCATTTAAATTAAGTAAATTATAGTTTTGCTTTATTTTGTTTCTGCTCTATTACTGGTTGACATTGACTATTAGCAGATATTTAAAGCCAAAGTATCGGCATCAATATCAGAACAGAAAAACCTGAATCGGTGCATCCCTAAACTGTGAAACATGACCAACACACCAAAATATTTCCATGGGGACAAGCAGGTGAGGACCCATCCCTATAGACCAGAAACGCTATACACAGAGCACTTTTAAGTCTCAAAACACATTTCACCATCACTGTTTGCACTTACTTTTGCCACTAATCTGAAACTAAGCTAACCTTCTCGGACATCCAAAACGTCTAACCACACTGTCTGTATACAGTTGTCCAGTGCTCGTGGCTACTAAGAAATTGATGCCTTTTTCCAGTCACTAGCCGTGGATGAGTCTGTCTGAGGGCTTCCCAGCTCCACAGATCCGCTTTCATCCTTTTGTGGTTTGACTCGCAGCATCACAAAGCAACACAGAAAACTGATATTCTCAAGCTTTGGTAATCTTGAGGTGACTAACTGCTTTTGAAGCTACCTGCTCTTTTGTCCGCTCCATTGAGGATTATATTGTAAGGTTTTGAGAAAGTAGATCCCAATGTTAGTCACTACAGATAGGCTAACCATATGGACAGGCCCATTCCTGAGGCAAAATAATAGAAGTTTTGAAAAGTTATATCTCTTTACGATTTATTGAGTTGTGTTTTACGTATAGTACTTGTGTGGGCTGCGTTTCTTTGCGGTGGCTAATCCCCATAAGACTCTTTCTTTTAAGCAGTTTCATCTTTTAAAGACTATAGTTTCACTATTTTAAGGCTAAACTATTTAAAGGCTAAACTTGTGAACTGGAGTGAGCACGCGATTCTAAAATACATACTTTGTTATGACTGATTTGTACTGCTTAGCTGTAATAACTTAATATGAACTAGAATGAACTAATACAAGGCAAAATATCACCTCTTCTTGAAAAACAAAAGTGATCAAAATCTATGGTTTAATTCCTTGAGTATGACTTAGTGGAGCAGAACTAGTTACAGCTGAATACACAAACACAGCAATTGTGAAATTTATGTCAATGGGGCATTTGCTTTTGTTTGATCAAAAAGCAAACAAAACGAATTCCTCCACATAATACTCACTGCTTCAATAAATTAAGTTATGACAACTATCTTTAAACTTTGATTTAGAATTGCACCTTGCAATCTTGACCATTTGCCAATATATCTGCCCACCTTCTCCTTCAAAATATTGCACAGAACATTGAAAATAACAAGACAATGCAACATTACTTAAACTTTTTTATGGGTTATTATTAATGAATTCTTCAACCAATGCAATTCAAATGCAGGTATTCAAACAAGTAACAGTGTTCATAGCCATTCTAATCCAAGTAACAGTGTTCATAGCCATTCTAATCCAAATAATAATGTTCATAGCCATGTTCATAGCTCTATTGAGATCCAGAGATTGTGTAATATACCCTATAATGAGTTAAAATTGGCCGCACAGTTATTCTCTCAACGTTAAAAGCAATAAAAACTGACAGCCTCCACCCACATTAATGGCCTTGCTCCAAATTTTAATTACTTCTATAATCTTTAAAGCTTAATACTATAATACTTTTGCTTAATTAAACTGGCAGTGAATGATTGATTTGTGGTAAAAACAACAACTGCGTAAGCTTTTACTACAATGCCAAATATCCACATTTTTTAAAACATCCTTCTCAAAAAAGACAAAATCTTTGTCTTTTTTCAGAAGAACTGCCTGAGGCCTGGGAATGCTCTGGGTGAGTTATCGGTTTGTTTTTTCAATTTGAATCTGTTTGTCTGTTAATAACCAATGACTTTTCTATTAGTTACTCAACAATTTTGCTAAACCCTGTCAGGTGACTACTTTTGTGATTTTGGGCTATACAAAAATAAATTCAATTGGACTGAAACGTTTATAGCTATCTCCTCCTCCTTTGGTATTTAGGCCAATCAACATGTATCACTTGTTATCAGTCTAACACAGTTCATTTCTTTGGCCAATTTTGTTGAATACTGATCTCTGCAGACTGAAAAAAACAAACAAAAATATCCCACTAGAACTAAACCAGGTCTAACCCAAAACTAAACCAGGTTCACAACTAAAGCAGGTCTCACCTAGCCTGATTCATCAGCTGGTTTCACTTCGCAGAAACCGTCTGACCTCGCAGCGTTAGAATTCGTTCGCTCGATGGTAGGTGGGTACTTTTTTTCATTTAACCAATCGCTGCTATTTGGTCGTGATGTATGTAAAGCTTTTCCCAAATTAAAAGGGAAGAAGGGCAATAACGTACTTACTCTTGATAAAATTCACTAAACATTCTCTTTATTCCGGATTTAAATCCTCGATCTTGGAAATCGTTGATTGCTGATTAGCTGGTGCCCGAGCTCACACTCCCGGGTTTTTTGTGAAACATCTAGTGTATTCTGATTCCTGACCTAGTCGCTGTAGAGAAATGAAACTGAGTGGAGGCACGAGGTGGTGCCAGTCTGGCTAGGTCTCACCCACGACTAAACCAGATCTAAACCAGGACTCAGCTAGGTCTGATCAGATATTGGCAAGCACAAGATGGAAACACCCACAAAGAGTAACCGTTTTGGAGCTGCTTTAACCATTACAATTTCACACTTGTCAAATTCAGTCTTTACCAAATGCTCTTTCATCCTGCCACTTGTAAACATTTGGGACACAATTTTAACTTGTTGTCTAAAATACTCTAGTCTAACCCATCTCTTCAAAACCGCCTGTCAGTAACTTTATCTTCAGTTTGTCTGTGTTTCTTTCCTTATGTAAACTGTCTTTGGGAATTTTGACAAGTGCAATATAAGTGTTATGGTACTAAGACATTACACTAAATTCATTATGACCAAACTCCACTCACCTCTTTTGAAGACTATGCTATCATATGGTATTTTGTTCCTTGTTTCCAGACTGGAGCAGTTCCAGCGATGCCCTCTGAACTGATGCTGACACTCGTGGATGGCTATTTGGATCCCTTGAATCGCCGAAGCGGTCACGTCTGGATTTCTCATACACACCTCTAGTTGGCGCCGCGTCAAACCGGGTAACGTCAGACATACCGTATTGGCGTTCAAAATGGGCTCTCCGTTGGGTATTTTCAGGCCCAAGATTTCATTGGAGTCTACCCTGCAAACAGGACGTACAGGTTTAGTTATTTACGAGATAAACAATGTCATAAATCAATTTTCATTCTTTGTCTTGACACATGTTGAAACAGCAGCACTGGTAATGTCTCTTATTATGATGCTCCTTGGGTGTCACCAAAGAAGATTCCCACAGTAATGAACAAAACCCTGATTGGAAAAACCTCAGTAATGTAATGCCTGCCGTTGTAATTGCCTGACAAGTTGTATATAGTGAGTCATTTAAATCAAAACTTGTGCAATGAACATACCAAACTCTGATATGTCAGAGGTAAAGCAATGTTAATTCAGGTACATCTTCCCATTTTGGTCCACTTTCAAGTTATTACAAGTTTTATGGACTGTTATATTACACTGACTTTATTACTTAGTGTCACAATAAATTTTCTGGATTTGAATGCTGCTGAAACCACGTAGCTCATCCTTGATTTTAGACAACACAAAAGCACAGCTGCAGAGAGCATTAGCCACAATGAAAAATGTTGAAATCGTTGCTTTTTAGAAGTATATGGGCATTTTTTTGGACGTAAATTTGATGTGAATACTGCATCTGTTGTCAAACGTGGCCAGCATGCACCATTTGAGGAAGCTGAAGTCTTTGTGTCTTTTACTGAGGGTTTCCTGTGTTTTTCTTTTAGTTGTTGGTTTAACAGCCTCTCCGTCAAACAGAAGAACAGAGAAGTCTTAATTATATTGTTCAAATCTGTTCTAAAATCAAAGGAGTTCAGCAGAGTCAATTGGTTTCCTTTTGTAAGCGAGTTTTCTTTGCTGCCTTCAGGCCATCTCTATATTGTCCCCTATTCAATAACAGATAGGTATTTGAAATCTTTTATGCCAACTACTCCCCTTAAATTCTCTTAAATTTCACTTAGATGTAATGTCTTTTTATTGGATGCTTCACTGACCTCTGAGCTCCTCTATGTTCAGAATGTTTTGAATGTTCGGTTTGTCACTCTGTGTTTTTTTTTACTGCTCAAACTAATTGCCCCTAGTGGGATTAATAAAGCTGTCTGAATCTGAATCTGAAAACTGCTTGCATAGTTGAAGAATTATGGAATAAGTATTAACATGCTGACTTTGAAGTTGTATCAAAATGAATCATCAATTGTAATTTGAAGAAAAAATGAAAAGAATAACAGTTTAACAGTCTGACAGTTTGACAATTTATGAGTACGGGTTTCTGTCTGCTTTTCAACTGCATAGTAGTCCTACTCCAATAATATAGCTAAATTCTGACCACAACTTTTATCTCTATTCAGTCCAGTTTTTACAAGTTGAATGCAAAGAAAATTCCCCTTATTTTATTCACATTGCACAAAATAAATTAACTCAAGAAAAGTTTTACTTGCACCTGCACATGCGTACTTTAATGTGTAAATGTGTTTAAAATGCCCATACAATTTAATTAAACAGAACAGTATTTGGGTTTAAAATGTATAAAAAAGAAAATACTAGATCTTCCAAAACATGAAATTCCCTCTAGAAAGCTAATTTGATCGTGACTGTGGCTTATGTTTGTTATCGTTAATACTCCGGTCACTTGGCGTGACTGCGCACTGTGCAACGTCACTCGCTTAAAAAGCTGATCGTATCATTGGCCCACTCTTGAACATGCTGGCTCAAATTCAACGCGATTAGTTTTACAGTTGTTCCAGAGAATCTTACCTGTCTTGTAAAAATCAACAGCTTCATGAAATTCAATTACGCACAACATTCACATCAACGCTCTTTCTGTTTTTAAAAGAAAACCAAATATTGCATTGGATATTAACTCTATGTGGACTTTTCTCGACAAACCGATTTTAACTCTCTAGACTTTTTTCACCCAAACGGACTCCGGTCATCCTGATTGCTACTTCATTGCTAAAACATAGGTTGCGTGTGAGTGTCTGTGTATAGCCATGTAGGACGCACAGTCACAGGCAAGCTCGCACACCTCTTTGCACATACTCTAGTCCGCTCCTGACATGTGCGCAACGATCCAGGTGTGCAGCCAGCACTGTATAACAACACACACAGCTGCGGCGGATGGATTTGCATAGCGCAGCAGCCTTTCAACTTTACAAGACTTTATAGTGCTTTACCTGCCCTGTGATCTGACTTGAAAGACCTTATGCTAATTCACAGTCGCTTGCAGTATGCAGGTGGCGAACTATTTCAACTACAACGTAATTACACCAAAACTTCTGTCTGTAATCATTTTGCAAGTTACGTTAATAGCAAAGGATTTTTTTTTTTTTTTGCTTCACAACTAATAGCATACAGCTCGAAATAAATAAAAGTGCAAAACATAACTCAGAATTTACGTCTTTTCATCATATTATTTATAAAGTTAGTTCTTCTGTAAGTTTTGTCATTTGAATGCACGTGTTAACTTGCTACTACTACGCTATTGGCACCGTTTGGTCAATTGCGCGCCACTTACCTTTTATCCAAAACAGAAACGATCACCACAATCCACGTAATTCTGATCCACGAGAGTTCCATTTTGTGCGCTGATAAATACAAAATACTAAGAAACGTTTTTGCAAAGTGTATGAAAAAATTAAGAGTGTGGTATTCCTCTTCAAAGCTGTGCGTAAAACCAAACTTCGGTTAAAAGCAGGTGAAGTCCGTGTAAAAGTTGCCGCTGGACTTGACAGATCCGGCTGTACTCCGTGTCCAGATGTGGCGAGAGGCGCTTTCATTCAGGAGAAGTTTCATCAAGACTCTCAACTTACTCACTGGAGGGTGCACGTACAGTAGTTACGCAAAGTTTGCAAAGGAAACGTCACGCATCTGTACAGTATCTCCGCTGGATATCTGATTTGTAGAAGTTACATCCGAAAGAGAGTGAGTGAGAGGTAAGAAGGGACAGACTGAACAGAATGAAGTCGGATTCACTTGTGATGTTACGGTGCGCACCAATAGCACTCTAAACTAGTGCACTTAGCGCTTTGCCAGCCCACTTTGTGCGTCACTCAGTCAGAGAAGTACCGGGGGAGGTCAAGTGCCAACCACTGAATCCTCCAGCCATGAAAAAAAAAAAAAAAAAAAAAACTCGGATTATCTTTTCCAGTTTCTACCTTGAAAGTGTATCCCTACTTTAACCATACTTCAGTGTAGGCTAGGTTATATATTTCTCTTGTCTTTTTGTCTCTATCCCGAACCTCGATGCACTGTACACTTGTTGTCTATGAATTTAAAAGAAAAACAAAAAAACAAAAGAGGTCAAGTGGCTGCTCCTGCGGGACACGGATCCCTGTGAAGATAATGTAAGAAGAGACACCGCTCCGTGCACAGAGCCACACGTGAACGCGCAGGGACAGAGCGCAGAGGAGGGCTCAACAGTAGTCCCGCATCCGTCATCAGTGACTTCAATGAAGTTTTGATGATGGAAGAATGCAGAAGTGCATGAATAAAGATAAGAGACATAACGACTGACATTAACCAGTAATGCAGTACTTTTTGAACCATAAACTATAGGCAAATTGTGGTATTGTGGTAATAGGGATATGTTACGTTTGTAATCACATTTCTTCTTACTTGTGGGTAGCCAGTATTTCAAAGCATTTTTCTTCTTTTGGTTTCAATAGATAAGGCTTTCATTCTGAATCGAATGCCTGGTAATCTTAATGCAGCTGAGTTTAATGTATTTATTTTATACTTTTTTTTTTTTTTACCCTATTTTTGCACAGATTTTTTACTAAATCCCCAAATGTATGTAAGTAATTTTTAAGTTTAAAGGCTGGTTCACTGTTTCATAGGGATGTCACAATAACCGAAATATCGTGATATCGTATCCTCAAAGTTCTCACAATAATATCGTGGACCATCACAATATATCGACTTACAAGTCTCTTTGCTTAAATTAAGAGTAATGGTGCAGCAACGCTAAAAAAAAAGATAGAGGGAACTACGTAGACCATGATCCTTTGCTCCACTTCAGTGCAGACTACAAGAAGAAATAACAGTTCTAAGCACTTTAAAGTCTTAGTTCTTTGGATTAAGTCTTATCAAGGCATTTTAAGAGGAAAAAGTAGCATATTCACAGTTTCGTTTGCCTCCACAAAATATCGCAAGAAATATTGTACCGTGAGATGTATATCGAGAAAATATCGTACCGAGAGATTTGGATATTGTTACATCCCTAATCGTGAGCCTTCCCACCATATCGTGAGCTTTCCCATGATATCTCAGAAAATATCATACCGTGAGGTTCATACGATATCGTATCCTGAGACTTGGATACCGTTACACCCCTACTGCTTCATTTCCAGTTAGAAGTTTATAAATTTTAAGGCCTTGCATACAGTAAGTGACCGATATTGCTGGGTTACAGATGACATCGCAGCATTCTATAAGCCAATCACATTTAATACAGCTAAAAGGGATACTATTAAAATGCAGATTCAGAGAGTTCTTGGGTGTAGCCACAAATAGAAATGATCAGGTTGAACAGTTGTGAATTTACCTTTTAGAGATTTCATCAAAGCACAATGTAATCAATATCTTGCCTCACATGTGAAAACCACCTATAGAAATACGACTAAAAAGGGATACATACCTTTATAGGAAACACAGGAAGTAGTGGTGAGCAACATCCATCTCTCCCTGTGTTAAATTTAGAATGTTACAAGGTAAACTATTGCCGAGATGAGTCTATGTTGTCATGTGTATGTGCATCCAGTGTAATATGTATACGGCGATAACCTGTATGGCAGCTGTCTCGAAGAAGTAATCAGAAAAAAAGTTTGTATATATTTATATGAATTCTTTGCTTTGTGAACTCCTCGTGACGTTTTTAATTTGAAAACGCTGAGTCAGACATTTTGATGAGGTCTACATTCTTTGTAATTTCCTTCTATTGCTTTTGTTCATAATCCGTCACTCCTGCTATGACGTTTAGAGCCGACATTATAACATTATAGTCAAAGGTGTGTCATTTGATTCTCATTTGAAGTTTTTCCACTCAAATAAGTCTTCTCAAAGTGTCGTATAAAACTTACTGGCACTGTTTGGTATTGCCATAACCTCCTTGTGTGTGTCATGGCCTTTAATCTTTTCGAACCCCGTCACTATAAACCCCAACAAAAAGCTCTCTTGTTGATGAAGTCCATATGATTTCACTCATCTTGATTCTTTATGAGTTAACCAGAATAAAGATGCAAAAACCACTAATAAAGACATTTTCCCCACCATAGCGTACACAGCCAGCACAGAGTCACCAACACTATAAAACACAACATGACTCTAGCATTCAAACACAATTACGTCTCCATACACAAATATAGGACACCAGGCCCTGAAAATCCCACATCAACAAGAAAATTATCATGACTGCCAGATCTGGAAGCCGTGCCGAAGCCGAGCGAGACTTTTGAGTTTAATTATTTCAAGGCATGTGTGAGGAAAGCAGCCATGTTAGTAGTCTTAGTGGTTTAGCAGGATGTGTCAATGCTGGCATTCTTTGAGGTTTTTTTTTTTTTTCTTTTTTACACAATGATGGATGGTATTCGCCCATGAAAAAAATAAATAAATCATTTGAAGTGTATGACTAACAGAAACATAACAAGTCCACCATGTGCTAAGTCTGGTTAAAAGAAAGCCTACATTAAAGTGTACATATCATTTGTTGTGGACAAAGGTCTTATATTACGCAAAATTTACTCTAATCTAACTCTTTCAGTTATAACTCTGTTACCTCTTCAAAATCATATCTGGAGTTGTGTTTTGTTTCTTACACACATGCTTGCATAATCCTGTATTATTAGTCTGCATCTCCAAACTCCAAAGCTCTAGTTTTCAAGTTAACAGCTTTTTTACCTTTTGTATAGCAGCTATAAAATGGAAATTTCAGGGCTAGAATTATTCACATTATTCTATACTATTCTATGCATCACGAATTTTGGACTTCTGGTCATCGTGCAATGCATACTGGGAAGGATTTTTCCAAAAAAGTGAGCATCAAACCTCCATGTTTGTTTTCCCAGTGGTATGCATCTATTGACAAAGCTTTTCTAATCTTTTTTCTGGCTCTGATATTGTCATACTTTAGTTTTGGGATTCGGACATTGTAATTGTGTGGTTGTTGGATATCCTAACAGTGAATAATGGCTCGAGAAATGGGCTTCGGAAGTTTGCGAACTCCATAAATGCAAAAGGGAGTCAGATCTGTGTGACTGCAAACCTCCATTCAAATTGTTTCCCTTCCCAGTGCAATTGAAAAATAGTGAAAGCTGAAGGCGATGCGATAGGCAGTATTGATCCACAGAAAGGACGATTTCTTGGCTGCCTAAGAAATCATCCCGAGTTTGTGGCGAACATTTTTTATGTGAAGCGCTAACAAAGCAAAATCCCAATCCCTCACTCAACCTTGGTTACGAATTTAAAAAGTCACGCCAAAGCAAGAGGCACCAGCTGTTCAACAAGAAACACTTTCCACTGCAAAGTGACCAAGACGTGATGTTGCTGTATAGCCACAAGAACAAGAAAGTGTGAGCTCGGCCTGTTTGTCTTCTGTACCTCTCGCTTAACAAACAGGATTTTGCTTTGATGGCGCTCCACATACAAAATGTTCGCTGCAAACTCGGGATGATTTCTTAGGCAGCCAAAGGTTTCCTTTTTCGTCCTTCCTGTTTATCAATACTGCCCATTGCCTTTGCCTTTCACTATTTTTCTGTTCCATTGAGAAAGGAAACAGTTTGGAAGGACATTTGCAATCACACAGATCTGCTTCCCTTTTGCAGTTATGGAGTTTGTAAACTTCCAAAGCCCATTTCTCAAGCTGTTTTCCGCTGTTAGGACATCCAACAACCACACAATTATGATGTCCGAATCCCATAATTAGAATATGACAATATCAGAACCAGAAACAAAAATGATATGATTCAAAAGACTAGAAAAGACTGGCTTTGTCAATAGACACATCCCACTGGGAAAACAAACATGGCAGTTTGATGCTCACTTCTTCTATCCTTCCCAGTATGTATTGTGCGATGACTGGAAGTCCGAAATTTGTGATGCATGTATTGAAGGGGTGTGGAGTTTAAAAACACAGTGGAGCACTTCCTGTATCACCACATGACATCACACAGTCACAAAATACAACCTTAGCTATGTTTCTATGAAGAAACATTATAACATAAATTATAATATGGGACCTTTAAGGGCCACAATTGCAAAACAAATACTGAGTGCCAGTGTCCGACTGAAAACAAATCATTGACATTCCACAGCTAAAATACATATATCAAATTCCACTTTATTTATATAGCACATTTTAAAAGCAAAACACTTTCAACAGAGGGTTTAAATGCTCAATTGAACTTTGCCAATTCTAAAAAAAAAAAAAAGAAAACACACACACACACACACACAACAACAACAACAACAACAAATAAATAAAACTAATAGAATAGTATAAAAATGTAAATAAAAATAAATAAAAGACGCTTAGGACCACACAACTCACAAGGTGTTAAAAACCAAAACAAGATGCTAGTTAA